GCGCAAGATGATGAATTTTACCTAGAACTAAGTTGTGCTATATAACAAAGGTGAAGGAATTATGTAGATATAATTGAAGTCTCAAGCCAGTCCACTTTGAGTTAATGAAAAGAGAGATTATCTTGGAAATAGGCTTTACTTAAAAGTGTCTGGGCCCTTCCTGAAGGAAGAGGTTCAAAAAATAAAAAATCTCTGGAAGGGCCACACAGCAGGGAACTGAGAGGGGCATCTTGTTTCCAAAAGCAGCCCCAGCCTCATCCCTCAATCACAAGTTTCTGTCAACAACTGCTATGATTTCAATAAGCGTCCCTCAAAGGCCATTGCTGAAGACTTGGTTCCCATCCTGTAGCTCTATTGAGAGTMGGCAGAATCTTTGAGATGTGGGGCCTGGTGGGAGGAATTTAGGTCTCTGGGAGTGTGCCTTCTCTTAAGAAGACTGTGGGACTCTGACACTTTTCTCTTCCTCTCTTTTTGCTTCCTGGCCACAATGAGCAAGCAGGTCAGTCTASCATACACTCCCTACAAGGATCTGCTGCCTTTGCCACAGATCYGAAGAAAAAGGGTCAATTGAGCATGGACAGGAACCTCTGAAACTATGAGCCAAAATAAACTTTTTCTAATTTTAAGTTGATTATCTCAGGTATTTTGTCACAGGAACAGAAAAACTAACACAATAATCACATGAGCTTGAAATAGAAACCCAAACTTCAGTCAGCAATGTAGCCCAACTGACTGTAGGAATTTAGCCTTGTGAGAAACTTTCAGCAGAGAACCCAGCTCAGCTGTGCTCTAATTTCTGGACACCATTAGATAATAAATAGCTGTTATTATAGGCTACTAAGTTTGTGGTAATTTGTAATTCAGCAATAGAAAACTCAAACATGGGGAAATTTGTACTTGAAAGGGAATTAGGAGGGTTTCAAATGCCAAAATAAGAGGTGATCCAGTTGTAAATTTTGTCTTGCTTTAGCAGAGAAGGGTAATATGAGGGGACAGCAATCCGAATGTGGGGGAGACCTGAAACCAGGTTCTAAGATGGAAACTGCTATGTTTTGAATGTGTCCCCCAAATTTTATAAGTTGGAAATGTAATTCCCATATCCATACATCAATGGTACTCAGAAGTGGGGCCTGTGGGAGGTGATGGGTCATGGGAGCTCTTCCCTCATGAATAAATAAGTCTACTCATGGATTAATGAGTTGCCAAGGGTGCGGCTTTGTTATCAAAGCAAGTTCTCCCTGGCTTGCTTGCTCTGTCTCTCCATGTGGTACCCCTCAACATGCCACTGTGCATCAGAAAGACTCTCACCAGATGCTGAGACTCTCACTCAGAAGATACCAACCAGTTCAGTGTTCCTGGACTTCCCAGCCTCCAGAACAGGGAGCCAAATAAATGTCTATTCTTTATACATTACCCAGTCTCAGACACTTTCTTATAGCAACAGAAAATGAACTAAGACAGGAATCTAAAAGAATTCTTCAACTGAAAAGAATGTGCTTGGCCTCTAAAAGATAAGTTGATTTTTGTATTCAAACCCTCCATGAGCTGCCCTAGGTAGAAGTATTGGACATGCCCAGGTGACCAGAAGCACAAGATGCAATGTGATCTCAACAGAAGGAAGATTCTAACACTCCAARATGTCTAGAAACAGAAAAGGTTGCCTTCATTATTTAGATCCCTAGTTCTTTCCCCCAAAGTGTATAACACACAATTGAATTAAATTATAAATAAGAGAAGAAATCAGGGTGAATAAGTAGTGATTTTTAAAAACCCATGAGCTACCAGCAATGGGCAGGGGGTTAGATTTTAAAGATTGGCGCAGTCAGCAGTTCCTGTGTTTCTCAATTTTGATGTCACTTCAAACAGTTGGTATCACTGTTTCCAATAGATGCTAAAGATGTAGAGATGAACTAGGATGATGTTGGACCAGGGACAAAATAACACCTGCATACTGCCATTATTGCATGTTTCCCAAAGGAAAAGCAAAARTTGAGAAAAGGAATGACTCCAGCACAGCCTAATACTTTGGCCCTAAAAATTAGCATGGAATTCTAGCAAGTATGATGGCATACTCTGGAAGACTCCTTTCCCCTGATGACCCAGTCCCAAGCTCTGTAAAGACTTATTCTTATAATTCACTCCCAAAATCCAAACTTGAGTCTTGGACCTTACCACACTCAATTTGTTAGAAAACTATAATTGCCGGGGAAAAGTGGAAGAGACTAAGCAAGATCAAAGAATGCCAGGAAGGAAATCTGGCAGCTAGAAGGAGTTGACCTCATTGCCCACTGCAGACTTTCCTCCACCCAAGGAGAGCCAGCCTGGCCATCCATCATCCCAGGACTTCCCTTGACTACTGCACCAAGAGTTCTCTCGTCTGTCTGTGCATTCACGTCCAGTCCCTTCACTTCCCAACAATCATCTTTCTTGTTTGATTGGCTTACTTTGTCGGAGCACATCCTCCAATAACTTTCTGTAAGAAGGTAAAAGAGTTTAGTTTTAACTTGCCTTGCTAAGAAGACATTAGTCAGTCTTCCTCCTTGTTTGATGTTTGACTGAGTATAGCATTCTAAGATGGAAATATTTTTCTCCGAATGAAAAAGCATTACTTCAACAGCTAACTTTCTATATGGATCTTGAGAACCCTGAAGATATATTAAGCACTTGGTCTCCTGTACCTAGTCTATTTTTTTCTGTGCTTTGCTGTGTTTTTTCTTATTCCTAGGGGGTGGAAAATGCCTTCTTTGTGAGATCTTTCTATCTGGAAATTCACATCTTTCACTTCTAAAAAGTTCACATCTTTCACTTCTAAAAAATTTTTCCTTCTCTCATTTTTATTAGTTCCCTGTCCTTTCCTCCCATACACAGGCTTTCTGGGGCTACCTTGCAGTGGATGGGAAGAGGAAGAAGAGCATTGTAAGCAGTAGGTTTTTGTGCTATATATCTCTGAATCCTATCCAGAGCACCAGGGTGGGAATACCTGCTTCTCCCAGCTTGGATTCCATGCAATCAAAACCTTCTTTTCCAGAAGCATTGCCTRATAGAAAAAATATGGGCACATCCCTAAATATTTGTCCAAATTGTCCAAATCCAGGGTGAGAACAAGAGCTCAGCAGTCCTCAGAGCCATCCTCTCACTACAGAGCCCACCTGACTGATGCAAGCAAAATTTACCAATTCAACTGCTATTTATTATAGCATACCTTTATGTCTGCCTACCATTTCCCTTTCCAAAAGAATTCCTCCCTGTGCATCTTTCTTACTCAATTTGTTATAAGTAATTTTATTCTCTCCAGTTTTTCCAGAACATGTATTTGCTGAATCTCATAGACTGATTATCTAATTTTATAATTTTCCTTTTCCTAATTGCCAWCTCTTATCTTTCTGTACTGGTGTCTGAAACACTTCTGGAACTTCATATCCCAACACATTTTTAACTTTTTCAATTTCTTCTATCATATTTTTAGAAAATATTTTTAATTGTAGAGAGACACAATACCTTTATTTTATTTAGTTTTTTTTTAATGTGGTGCTGAGGATTGACCCCAGTGCCTCACACATACTAGGCAAGTGTTCTACCACAGAGCCACAACCCCAGCCCTCTTCTGTCATATTTTTAATCTCCAATAATTCTTTGTTATCTCACTTTTTCTTTTATAAAGCAAGCTTTTCCTGTCTGGAAGAATAATATTTTGTCCATTTCACTAAAGTGAAGTTCTAAGTTTTCTGCTTCCCGTGATATCTCTATGACTTTTCTTTTTCTGAAGTTTATGTTTGCCTTTGGTTTAAATTCTTGCCATTATTTTTGTCATTCTCATTGGAAGCATTCCTCAAATTCCTGGTGGCCCTCAGCTGCCCATAATCTATCCCAGACAGTCCCTCCTGGCCTTTAAACACCTGGCTCCCTGCTTTCACACCCCTAGCCAAGAATAAGCCCTGCGTGTGGGCTATAATTCCTCAGCACTGTGCTACTYGTGGCCATAGCTGRAGTTAGGTGAGTGACTTCTCCAAGACACTCAGAAGGTGGTCAGAAGCATTGTATGCACAAAAGGGCAAAAATTGTCAGTTTAGGAATGACTGTGACAAAAATCCCCAAAACTATTTTTTCTTTGCTCCTCCTCCTCCTCCTCC